GAGCTTTAGCTCCTCAAATGAACCCATGAGCGAACTCATCCAGAGGATCTCCCAGGTAACTGAGGAGGTGAGGCAAGGGACTCGCACTTCTAATAGGGAGAAAGATGTGCTCACCCAAGCACTCGGAACCAAGGAGCACCCTGGTCGCACTAGAGAAACCGGTGTTGTTCCTTGGAAACTAGCATTCCCTCAAGAATCTAACACTTACCGGAGCCGCTCGAGGGGTAGAGCGGAACATGAGGTAGAGTATTTGAGGAGACTAAAAGAGATGGAAGATAGAATGGAAGCACGGATTGAGGCGACCGTTGAAGCGCGAGTCGAGCAAATTTTGCTGTCCAAGGGGTCAGTAGTACCACAAAACCCTACTCCTAGTGCCTTTAGCCCATAGTTTAGGGGTCGCAGCAGCTGCGAATCAACCCCGCTCGACGAAGAAGAGGCGAATGTGCCTCATCCGGTGGACGACATCACTCAACCCGTCAATGTCAAGTTGTACATTCGTCAGGAATGGACAAAGGACAAGGTGGCGCTCGGCCAAGGCTAGCCTACGGGAGATGGGACAATTAATGGCCGCCCAATTTCACTGGGGTACGCTCGCGTCACCATTGACATAATACTTGATAAGAAGTATAACAAGATACCCATTGAGTACCCCGTAGCGGAAGACAGGCCGAAACTTGGTCAAAACAAGGGCTCTCAAGTCGCCTGGCGCAAGCGCTTCATTAAGCTTGACCATCAATTGTCCTCTAATGATGAGGACAACTGTGAGTCTTCGCCCACCCGCGATGATCACTCACCATCTCCCAACAGAGATCACTCCCCTCCTCATCCGAGCCATCACCCCCGAGAAGACAGAGGTCTCCTTCTATTCCTCCTCGTCCGACTTCATCTTCATTAGCCCTGAGAAAAGAGACTCCTCCTCCTCCTCCTCCTCCATCTTCATCAGTGCTGGGAAAACAGAATTCTCGTCGTCATCCTCCTCCTCCACCTCAGCCCAAAACATGATCAAGGAAATCCTCGCAGTCGCAGAAAAGGTCATTGGATTCGGTCGCTAATGCTCCCAAAGTGGACCCACATAAAAGAAAAAGGTCGTTCAGTGGCAGCGTTACCACCTTGATGAAAGACAAATTTACAGCACACATCTCGAAGGAAGATTGTGTTAGTTTCTTCAATCTATGTGCCTCACTGCCTCCATTTTTGTTGAAGTCCGAATTCGAAAGGCAAACACAGAATAAATACGCTACAACAAGAGACGAAGAAATACACAATAAAGATTTAAGGAATATTATGAAGTTAGTCAAAGACAACCCTGATTTAACCATGGAAGAGGTCGCGAACATCTATTATGATGTACAAGGGATGGGAACACCGGCAATGAAGTATGAAAGGGACAATCTTTTGGTTCCCGATCATGAGTATAAAAATCTGACAACATATATGCACCAGTTACATGAATATTACATGGCTCAAGCAACAGAGACGGATGACTTTGGTTTTGAGGTTATTATCCGTTCGCCACATGTTTTCCAATATCCTAAAGAAGAGAAGTTCGATGTCGAGTGGGAGTGCTTGTTCCAGCTATACCAGAAACGCTCTCTTGATGTTCAAATGTTGACGCTGTGGACTATGTAAGTACCCTACACGCACGATATTACAATTAACTACTCTCTCGAGACACAAATTGTTAACTTTTGAGCACTTCCCATGATTTTATGTAGGTGTATAGCAAAATTTTGCATTCTAAAAAATAAATGGGATTACATAGGCTTCTTGGACCCCATGCGAGTCAATGAGAGGACATGTCTAGGCCTCTATGGATGTGACATGAAAGACCTAAAACAGAGATTGATTGTTGTTTTCGACGAATTCACGATGAAGAAGAAAACCCACATACTTTTAGCCTACAACTACGAGTATGTGTTCTCGGCTTTTAATTTTATGCTTCTTTTTTCGTTAAGATTATTCGATAATTAGGATTCTGTGATTGCAGCAACCATTTTGTCTTCATTTGTGTTAATCTTGCCAAAAATCTGCTCAAGGTGTGGGACTCGAAGAAAAAACCATTTCATCATCTGGATGCACTGGTGGCAGTGCTGAATTAGTAAGCGATCCTAATAACTATTATTTTCTAATCACACATACCGCTTTCAAATATTTCTTCTTTTAATGTTGCTCAGTGTCCGAAGAAGATATATCGGTGGGACGCCGGTCCCATTCAAGGTTGTCGAAATGGAGGGGAAGTACCTATCATAGTCGGCGGAAAATAATGAATGCGGGTTTTATGTAATGTGGGCAATGCTTCGCTACATCGGCGGGAAATCGAAAGAAGCTGATAAGTTGGTGTGTATAATCTCCATTTCATTTATGTCTGTTAATAATTCAATAAAATGATTTATTGTTCCTCTTTGGATATCATCTTTTTTGAACAACAGCGCAAGAAATATAAGCACGAAAGACTGCTAGACATGGAGATCGTCGCACTACAATCAGAGCTGGCAAAATTCATCTTAGCCGAGGTATTGGAAAAAGATGAAGTATTTTTCATTGCACAATACATAAAGTACAAGGACCAGTATGGCCCAGAGCGGCTCGCCAGATTATTGTAGGAAGTCCGAGAAGCATGTGTGAAGTCCAAGAACATTTCTTTTTTATTTTGAGGGATCGAGATGTGGATAAGAATATTTGAATTGTAATTGTAACATTTGTAATGTTTAATATTGATGGACCTGTCGTCTACGTAGCGTATATAAAGCGAAACCCGATTCCACGAAAAAATATAAATTAAAATAAATTATAAAACAATAAAATACGAACGGGCCATCACCGCCGGTTAGCAACAAACCGGCAGTGTTATCGTAACCATCACTGCCGGTTAGAAGGAAACCGACAGTGTTGGCTTGCTCAACACTGTCGGCTTGAACCATGAACCGACACTGATAGTTATAAGAACACTGTCGGTTTGATCCATGAACCGACACTGATATTTACTACAACACTGCCGGTTTGATCCATGAACCGACAGTGTAGGCTTGCTCAACACTGCTGACTTGAGCCAAGAATCGACACTCTTGAAGCAACCATCATCGCTTGGTTGGCACTATAAACCGGCAAGGTGTTGTTCAACTGAACACCGCCGGTGGAGCCAGAACCGACCATCGCTTCCGATAGATTGTGTAGTCGTTTTTAAGGACCGGCAGTGATGTCAACCCCTCATCACTGCCGGTATGCCACTGTTGGTTCAAAATCTGGCAGTGAGGTGGGTTTTTGAACCGGCAGTGATGTCCAGATATGGGGTAGTGCATTTTATAAACTCCAGTATGTAGCCTGATTAATGAAACCGTTATCTAAAAAAAACTCAGTACGTAGAATACTTAATTTGAGAACCATCCAAAAACTGTAGGAATCCAACCTTCGTGGTTCCATCCCCACCTGTGTCGGACCTAGGGATGATGTAGATGAGCATTTAGGTCCACACGTGCGCGTAGCAGCCCAGCCAGCGCTGCTTAAATGCTCACAGTACCCACTTATACAATGGAAAAGCCACCGTTGCATGATATATATGTTTAATTGAGTACTTTCTCCAAATAAATACTACTACTCCATCCTAAATTGTAAGACGTTTGACTTTTTTTGCCTTAAGTTTGACCACTCGTCTTATTCAAAAAATTTATGCAAATATAGTCAAATTTAAGACATTTTTAAAGAATTTTTATTAATAAACCAAACCACGACGAAAGAAGTGATATTTTACACAAATTTTTGAATAAGACGAGTGGTCAAACTTTGTGTCAAAAAAGTCAAACGTCTTACAATTTGGGATGGATTAAGTATATGTTAATACGGTAAAACTGCATTTATTTTTTTGCAATTTTTTTTTTTCCATTTCTGGTAAGATGAACATTGTCGGATCACTACCTAATGCCCATTCCTAAAAATATGAAATAGAAATGAAGAACTAATGTTTGTAATATTGTCTAGTTGGGCATGATTATTTTGGACAATTTTGGAACCAAATATATGGGTGGTCAAAATTGTTGATTAAACTTTGAGAAATGGTCCGTGCTCCTGTGTAACTGTGACATTCTGGCCCATGATGGCCCATGTTGTGAGTTCATGTGATGTGAGATCATGGGGATTAGTAGTCCCACCATGGTTTTTATCGGTAGGCTACTAACCTATAAGCTTTCTAGAGTCTACATACCACTATCTCTAGGTTACTCTTTTACGTGAAATGAAAATGAACGAATGTGTAACTGTGGGGTTAGTGGCAGTTTTTGCTTCAAGATGCAGCTGTGGGTTACGTAAAGTGAGGCCGAACGCATAAGTGAAGCATGATCAATCCCAATTTCCCATGTATAAAAGTTGGCTACGGCTTAATTTGTTAATAAAACCACCATCCCGCATTATGTAAAGTAAGGATGAAAGTATAAGTGAAGCGTGATGAAACCTATTTCCCCATAATTTGTTAATATGATATGAAGCATCGTATTTCTCACAAGAAATATTTCCTAGGTCATGACAGGTGGTACAGAAGCACACACATTGTATCCTCTAGCTGGTTTCGCGTTAGGCCAGAACGAACATGGCATTATCTATGCGCGCTAAAGTTACTTCTGTTGGCCTTGCATCTCCTGGAACATTCACAAGTTGTCCGGTCACTATCACCAATCAAAAGAAAAAGTAGAGAAAAGTCGAGGAGAAAGGAAAACACAAAATATATGTATATATTTTGAGGAGAAACAAAATTATGTGCACCAATTGCATGTGCCTAGTTAAAATTCAGGAGAAAGGAAACACAAAAGAGATCGGGCACCTTCGAGTTCTCAACCAATATATATATATATATATATATATATATATAGTGACTAACAACCCATTCTAAAAGTATTGGTTCCATAATTTACCATCATATACATGCTGCTACGTACATAGGGATACAGTTACTATAGCTAGGAAGTTACTACTTTATTTGCTTTTGCTAGGTTGTTCCTTTGGACAAATAATTACTCCCAGTGCCCTTGTGGGTAATATCCCACGAAGTGCTGTGAGTCACCCAGAGGAAGCGTCGGCTGTGGCGGCACCCCCGCATCCGGCAGTGCAGCCTCGTCGTAGTAATAAGTCTTGGATGGCAGATGAGAATGCGCAGGGTAGTGTTGATTCACCGTCGGTGGCATCGTCTGATGATATGTCTTGGATGGTTGACGAGCAGGCCGTGGAGGCTGTGGGGGTGGCGGCTTGTGCACCATTTCAGACTGCACATGAGAAGCAGGGATCATCTGCATATGTGGGCGCTGCATCTCATGTAGTACCTTTGGTGGTGATGGCACGCTTGGAGGCAACATCGGTGCTGATGGATTTTGAGACCACACTGGATGAGTTTGAGGCAACATCTGTGTAGTTTGGGTCCATGGGTCATGTACTTTTGGTGGTGGTGCTGGCAATGTCGGTGTCTGCAGAGTTGGAGGAGGCCTTGCTGCCTGCTGCTGTGTCGTCGTCGGCTGTGTATAGTACGTCTCGGTGGGTGGTGGCATGCCGCGAGGAGGAGGATGTGCTGGTGGTGGAGGCGCTGCAATAGGAGGTGGTACTGGTGGTGGAGACGCAGGAACAGGCTGCTCTACGTAAGTAGGAGTAGGTTTCCTCAGGTGATCAGTTACCGCTATCACCTGTGGCTGCGGTGGTGATAGCTGCGGATTATTGTTGGGAACCACCGGCGCCTGGTGCTGTTTATTCTGCTCTCGTTCATGTTCTTTGTTTGAGCCGCCACCGCCACAGCAGAACCAGATGCTGCAGGAGATGTTGCTGCAGGAAAAGCTGAGGTTTGGGCATCCTGTCATGCTCAAATTTGTTGTGCTATATATCGACCTGATTTCTATAAGCTGAGGCTTCTACCTTACCTCTCTATCTAGCTACAGGTCTTGCATTGGCTTCGCCCACAGGGTACAGGCTGCTTGCTGATGGGTTATATAGGGCAATAGGAATAATAATATACCTAGCTAAGCCTTGTGTCCTTGTCAGGTGTAAGGATTAGCTTGCGTGATGGATCAGTATGAATTTACATTGACTTGACCTGTTGAAGGTCGGTGTCTTTAGTTATAGGATCAGATTCGGCCTCCACTTGGCCACCCAAATCATGCATCCCGTCCTATACAGATCTAAATGATTCGGGGTTGTGAATGGAAACATATATCTGAAACAATATTCCAAATACACGTAACATTTTCAATATGATTTTTGTGTGTGTCTTGATTATTTGTTCTCCGTGCATTGGTGGTGTCTCGGCTAGTGATATTTGTTTTTTCTGCAGTAATAATGTTGTGGTCAGTGTTCATATGAGTTAGGATAGGATTATTCAGGATACAAGCTGCATGTGGAGGATGACTATAGTTCAAGGAACGGAGAAGCAGTTAGGCCTATAAACATCCGGATTCTGAAGCGGTCACTGTGTGTGTGTGTGTGTTTATGAACCAGGCTTTATATATGATTTATTTTGGTGTACGATGGTTCCATCTATTGCATTCATATCCAATAACCGAAAAATATTCAGTATAGAGAAATTCCATAGGGGATGATTATTGCAAGCTAGTGACACACCCACAGATTTGGCACCTTTAAACAAGAGTTTTGAGACAATGACAGTATCCAAATATATAGACTCAGCCTAGTGTAACAGTTGGAGCAACTGATGGGTGAACCATGTATAGTATAATGATCTAACTTTACGGGTGCTCTCATAACTATTTGCAAGTCAAACTGAACTATATCAATTAGAACCTTGTCCATCGAATGGGCATGTGTTTCAGACAATAGAAATGCAGGAGGTAACAAAAATTACTATTGGATGCACATATGACACATTTATGGGCTAGTAAAGCAGTTATGGAGATGTGCAAGCTAAGTAATTTTGGAGTTTATATTGTGGTTAATAAAACTTACATTCGTTTTAACTTCTGTGAGCTCAGAGTAGAAAAGATTCTTAGTCATGACATAACTACTTTATATACAGTACCGGAAATAGTGACTTTGCCGTGCACTCGGCAAAGACCAAAAAACACTCGGCAAAGGCTTTGCCGAGTGTAACACTCAGCAAACAGCACACGACATCTACAGTGTCGGCAAACAGCTATTTGCTGAGTGTTTTTTATCGCCACTCGGCAAATGGTCGGCAAAAAAAAGTGGTTTGCCGAGTGTTTTTCCAAAATACACTCGGCAAAGTATTATTGTTTGCCGAGTGTTTTTTGGAATTACACTCGGCAAACCTATTTTCCAAAGAAAAAAATAATTTTTTTCTCTGTATACTATTATTGTTTGCCGAGTGTTTTTGGGAATTACACTCGGCAAACCTATTTTCCAAAGAAAAAAATATTTTTTTCTCAACACATTTCAGTTTAATAGCTGCCATACAAAACACTCTTAGTACACCATATCTGCATGCACACCATATATGCATGCACATCACAACATAATTCTCATAATAACCACATGGACATAAAAATAAAGATGATAAATTTAAGAGACTAATGACAGGTATAAGTTCAGAAGAATCAATGTCTAGAAAAATTTCAAAAACTATGCTACCAAAATATTGAAGGTAAAACCATCAGCACCCCACTAGACATATCTTCTACTCCATTCTTCATGAAACTAGCTTCTTCACTGCTGCAAGTTTAGAGAGTGAACTAACGAACTACTGAAAATAGACAAACATCAGAACTGGGCCGGTAATCCTATTTTATATTTGCAATTTATATGAGAAAATTGAAACATCAACAGGCGACAAACATCATAATGTTGGACAGATAGCAAATAATGTGACGACAAAGCACTTTCACGTGCCCTGTTTTGGATTTTAAGACTTAAGATTTCCAACCCCAATTCACGCACAATTATTCAGAACTCCAAACCAACAGGTCCTATAGTCACACTTCATCTTGTTGTCAAGGGAAGAGATCCATTATCAGATTACAATGCCATCCAGTCATTCTAAAAAGTGCTACTGTTGCTAATAACTAAGTCAACCTACTACTTAAGACCCTGTTTCATGAGTAAAAACCAACAATACACAAGAACACAATTCCATTTGCATAATAAATTTGTATCTACCATATTCTCCTAGTTAATATTAGAAAAAAATTCCTTAACAGGGTCCATCCAGGTTAATATCAGAAGAATTTCAATCCCATTCTAAACAAAAACAAAGAAACAGACAGCATGACAAGATCACAAATATAAGTCCATTATGTTTAGGACAACAACAGTCAACAGGGTCTCCAATCCAATATGACACTTTGATTAGCAATATCTTAAACATATATTGTCTTATTAAATGCAAAGTATTTTCGTAAAGAATTTGGTAATGCACTAATGCAAATCTAGTGCTAAGTGTATAAATTTTTAGGTATTGACAGTCGCATATTAAAAAATTAACTCGCGACAAACCTGGATGGACTTATATTTGTGATCAGAGGAAGTACATCAATAAAGTATAAATGATATGCAATTATATTTCTGTACATACTACTGCTAAAGTGCTAAGTTCCATATCAAGCAAGCACATAAAAAGAACAAGGATACAGGAAGACTGTTTCTTAAAATGTCAGATTATGTCCTCATCTAAAACTTTATGCCCCCAAGTTCTGGTTTTTTATTTGAAGTTGCAGTTCCATCATCCAAGCCAAACATATACACCCATTCAATGCAAATACATAACCACAACTTTACAACTCAGGCACCTAGTTGATTGGTGCACAAAGTCATACATGCAAAGTGTAAGAAACTTCAGCCGTATTTTTCTTAAGTTAACTAAAACCTATTTACACTGATCATTATCATTTCAACCAACTATATGTTTTAGTATTTGTCTTAGAAGTCTATGTTAAGTTTTAATTTCAACAGACATATGTGCTTTCTAAAAGTTAAAAGTCACTTCCCATAACCAATGTCACATCAGGTGCATTTCTGCCCATGTCTTCACACACCACAAGCTTATGTGAGTGATTAAAACCCAGACTACATGGAAAATCAATTCTACTTCTCTCCTATTATAAAGATAAGTGCAAAAACAAACATAATCAAGCAGTCAAATCTAATAGGCACTTAGAGAGGCTTACAATTTAGGATGAACTTTCTCTGGCGGAACAAGTGAAACTTGCAAGGTGTGCTCACCTGGAGCAAAAGAACAAGAGCAAAAGAACTCGAGAAATGGCTCAGATTTACCCATTATCAACATGACAACTGCAACTTAATTTCACCTGGAGCTTAATTTAATTCTCTCTCTCTAATGGGAATTGAACTGGCCACAGAACTGGTTGCTTGTACTGGTACAAGCCATCCTAGTTAAGCAGCAAACAGAACAAAATATCCCAAGTACCAGCTCATAAGGTGCTAAAGTGCAGAAGTTCTCTAATGGAAACTTGATTCATCACAGCCACTCAAGAGTAGTACAAAACAAAAGAAGTCACAAGGCATAGCTAGGGAAGGGGAGAGCAGCGCAGCGTGGCCTCCCCGGCGGTAGCTGCAGGAGGTCCACCTGCAGTGGCAGCACGCTCACCTGCGAGAGCTACAAACACTATGAACCAGTTACCAGTACATGATCCAGACCCAGGTCTAAACATGAGCAAATTAAATATGTCACTGGTAAAACAAGAAAGGAAGCCGAAGGAGTGGAGTTTAGAACACACTTTTGATATTTAAGTCCAAATTAAATGTCACTGGTAAAATCTCTAGTGATACTTCCATTAGTTACTGATCAGGTACAGCACGATAATTGTCAGATTCCATGTACATACTTGACATCTTACCTTAGATCGAACCAGTCCAAGATCCTCCTTCCAGTCAAATTACATGCTAACAAAATCTTTGTGTTGGATGGTAATCAAAGTATGAAACCACAGAGACTTAGAAAGACACTAACCTGTCAGGTAGTCCTGAATATAGGCCAAAATCCCAAGAAAGACGCTTCTCAAAATAACTAACTGCTGAAGTGAACTACAAGAAAGTGAGAACTTAAATATGCTCATTTCGACTTACCTATGACTACAAATTATTCAGTTCATATATAAGTGGACTATATAAAAACAGAAGGCTATGCAGTACACTAATACTGAGACAGTAGAAACAAAGAGATATACCACAGAGACATGACCTGCTGCAGCTTAGCATCTCTTAGTATATACGTTCTCTTCTTTGCACTCACGGAAGATAACTACAACACATAGATGAAAAATTTTAAACCTGGAGGGCACAGAATGACCTACCTGGCTGCAGCATCGTCGATTCAGATTTCAGAAGGTGTTGCATCTATACCTTCCGAGCAGCTCCATTTGATGAGGAAAGGATAATCTAGCAGAGGGCAAAGCCATTGGAAAGGATAATTGGATCATCAGTTTCCATTGCAGATACATGTAGCAAGATACAAAGCTAACGAGAGAACACTAAACCGTAGACCCAATTGACATGGGTGATAAAATAAATATCAAAGTTAGTAGGCATAATACATGTACACACTTGTGATTACATCTGAACCGAATACAAATAGCTAAATAGCTCAAGTTAGGGTTCCAATGCTCAATTTGGCACAGCAGGAAGGGAAGAGAAGGAGCGGGCATACCTGGTGTGGTGGGTTCCCGTCACCAGCAACGGGCCCGAAGAAGACATGGGAAGCTCTGCGTAGGGCGGCGGCGGTACTTGACGGACGGGCACTGCGTCCTGCCTCTCCTCGCCCGCTGGCGGCAACCACGCCGAGGCCAACATGGTGCCCTTCCGTGTAGAGGAGGGAGGCGCCGACGGCCGGATCTGGAGGAGGGAGGCTTCACCGGCCGGATCTGGAGGACGGAGG